AAGAACATGCGTTTTCGAACATGACATGCAGACCCGAAACAACACCGAGAATAACGTGTCGGAAAAATATTCTATCTGCACCGCAAGAAAATTGATGGTGAATGTGCTGTAGTTGCTTTTCTCATTTGAGTGCTCTACGAAAGTGCGGTCACCGTTTCGGGTCGCTTTTGGCCTCTAGAACCCTGTCTATACCCTGGGCTTCAACGACGTGAAAAATGATGGTCCTGGTGTTTTGCATGAAGAACGTCATTTTGAACAGCCGCAAAGACAGTAAAAAGGCATAGAAAGACAGTCAAACTGTAAAACAGCATAGAACGACAGTAAAAAGGCGTAGAAATACAGAGCAAAAACATGCGTTTTCGAACATGACATGCAGACCCGAAACAACACCGAGAATAACGTGTCGGAAAAATATTCTATCTGCACCGCAAGAAAATTGATGGTGAATGTGCTGTAGTTGCTTTTCCCATTTGAGTGCTCTACGAAAGTGCGGTCACCGTTTCGGTCGCTTTTGGCCTCTAGAACCCTGTCTACACCCTGGGCTTCAACGACGTGAAAAATGATGGTCCTGGTGTTTTGCATGAAGAACGTCATTTTGAACAGCCGCAAAGACAGTAAAAAGGCATAGACAGACAGCAAAACAGCATAGAACGACAGAAATGGGTAGAAATACAGAGCAAAAACATGCGTTTTCGAACATGACATGCAGACCCGAAACAACACCGAGAATAACGTGTCGGAAAAATATTCTATCTGCACCGCAAGAAAATTGATGGTGAATGTGCTGTAGTTGCTTTTCTCATTTGAATGCTTTACGAAAGTGCGGTCACCGTTTCGGGTCGCTTTTGGCCTCTAGAACCATGTCTACACCCTGGGCTTCAACGACGTGAAAAATGATGGTCCTTGTGTTTTGCATGAAGAACGAAAGACATAGCAAAAACATGCGTTTTCGAACATGACATGCAGACCCGAAACAACACCGAAAAAATTCGTGTCGGAAAAATATTCTATCTGCACCGCGGAAAAAAATCTATCTGCACCGTCGGGGCAAAAAAAAGCTCAAAAGCTCAAAAAACATTCTATCTGTAAGCCCCCGTTTTTTGAGGAACAAAGCTCAAAAAACATTCTATCTGCTGGGGGTTTGCCGTAAAAGTAAAGATATTCTTCCCTATAAGGGTATTGGGTGGATTATTCGCTTGGTTTTTGGAGTGGTTCTTAAGCAAATCGAAGGTCGAATTTTGTTTTGCTCAGAATTCCAGAATGGGTCCACAAGTGTTTTGGGGGTTCTTAAGCAAAGGGTAGTGCATGGACAACCCTCAATGACTCAAGCACTTGAGGTGTGAGTTCAGGATGTTGCGGCTTTTTGCGGTTTTTTTTGTGCATGGCTCGTTTTAGGGTTGAGGGTCCAGGGTTTAGGGTTTAGGGTTTTGGGGTCTTCCAAGGATCTCATCCGCACGGAGGTGGTGGCAGAGCATGGGGGTGTCTGGCTGGATGCGACCATTGCCTTGCAGGCTCGTAATCTTGCGAGCCTACTTTGGAGGTTCATCTGGGTCGTTATCAGAAGGGTTTAGGGTATAGGGTTTAGGATTTAGGGTTCGGGGGCGTTGTAGGTACGCAACTATACTTGTGTTTGTCCAGGATCCCAGAAACCGTTTCCTATCTTCACCCCAAACCCTAAACCCTCAGGCTCCTCGAGATATGCCAGAATCCCAAGTCCCTCAAGTACTGCAGGAGCCTGGAAGATAGGACTGTTTACGCTGGTTTCTTCGGGCCCCAGGTCCTTCCCCAAGATGCTGATCGCATCGCACGTCATAACATGTGGTAGGGTTTGTGTGATGTTGTTTGGTGACTGCACAGAGGGTTCCTTGCGAATATTGATGGTGTACATTCCCCTCCACTCCTCTCCCCCTACTCGCTCTCTCGAATCTCGGGTTGCCCCAAAACCTCAACCCCTAAACCCGAAATCCCTAAATCCCTAAACCCCTAAACCCAACCCTAAATAAACCCTAAACCCTAAGCCCCAAGACCCAAAGCCATAAAGCTTCGGGAACCAGGAGCCTCTGGAGGTCTGGCTGGCCGATGGCGCCCTGGGCAGATCTTAGCCGCGGGGCTGAGGGGTGGGGCGCCGAACCCTAAGCCCTAAACCCCAAACCCTAAACCCTCAACTCTAAACCCTAAACCCCAAACCCTAAACCCTAAATCCCAAACCCTAAACCCTAAACCCTAAACCCAAAGCAGCCCTAAGGCTCAACCCTAAGCTCTATAAGCCCTAAACCCCAAACCCAAAACCCTAAACCCAAAACACAGCCCTCAAGCTCAACCCTCAGCCCTATGAGCCCGAAACCCTCAGCCCTATGAGCCCTTAATCCCAAGCCCCAACCCCTAAGCCCTAAGCCCTCACCCCTTCAAGCAAACCCTATAAGCCCTAAACTCCAAACCCGAAGCCCTAAACCCCAATAAGCCCAAAACCCTTCTTCCAAGAGGTCCACCCTCACAAGAAGAAGAAGAAGAAGAAGAAGAAGAAGAAGAAGAAGAAGAAGAAGAAGAAGTGGAGCTGCTTGAGTCCCTTCCTCCCCCGCTGACCCACCAGCCACCCATCCTGGACCATCCACGGCGTGCTGGTGCCATGCAACAGACACCTCGGGAAACTATGCCACGTCGTCAAGGACGCCATCGCCAGACCGACCAATTGGTACCACACGGACTGGAAGTGCCGAAGCCTCAGCTACCAGGACACGTGCAAGGAGACGAAGCCCGGAACCCAATACCGCAAGAGCCCAACTCCCCCCTTGATTCAGGAACATGCCATTCAGGGTTTAGGGTTCGGGGTTCGGGGTTAGGGTTTAGGGTTTAGGGTCCTAATGTGCCTTCAGGTATTTTTTTCCTGAATGAAAGGGTTTGCTGGGTAAATGCCTAAAGCCTGCACCCCACACCCTAAACCCTCTCAACCCTCTCAGCCCTCTCAACCCTCTCAACCCTAACCCCAAACCCTGTGATTGACAAAAAGTCTTGAACCCCTGTGAGCTCCAAAGAGCTCCGACTGAGCAGGCTTTTCAGGTTCCGGGCTTCGGCAAAGAGGCTTTCCATAATAAGAGAAACAAAAGGTCAACAAGAATGATAATAACCTTTCTTCTCAATCTTGTAGTACTAGCA